AAAAATGTGTGAGTTGGAGGCTAAAAAACTGTGAGCTGGCTCACACTAACTCAGCTTAGAGGGAACACAGCTCAAGACCTAGTGTGAAATGTGAACATTGTTGCACCAGTTTGTTGGAAACAGTTGACCACAGTGCTATTTAGTTCAGCATTCGTGCCATTGGAAAGTGGCCCCCCCAAAGTCCAAAATAATCACTTCTGATTTCAGAAGGGACTCTGAAAAAATTAGAAGACTAGTACAAAGGAAGTTAAAAGTATTAAAGAGAGCCAAATCCTGAGCTGGATAGCTCCAGCCAGATCGATCTCATGAGAACTAGGAAGCTAAGCAGGGTCGGCCCTGGCTAGTATTTGGATGGGAGACCTTCAAGGAATACCAGGGTCGTGACTCAGAGGCAGGCAGTGGTAAACCCTCTCTGAATATATCTTGCTCTGAAAACTTCAGGGGGGTCTCCGTAAGTCACTTATTTCTTAATCACACTTTCCTCCACCACCAAATCTCTCCAGGATATTTGGAAACTCTTTTAAAACCATACTAACTGAGACCCAGGTAGAATGCATACCTCAAGTCAGGAAAGGTGCCACCAAAGCTATAAAAATGCCTACGTTAACAACCTAATTCATAGGAGCCATAAAAAGTCAGCCTCCGTGCCTTGTTTGCTTGGCCCTCCAGGACAACTGAAACTGCATGCTGGACTAGATGGACCACTGGTCTTATGTCCTTATGTACCCATGTGCTCATTTTAACAAAAATTCCTGCAGAGGCCGGGTGCAGGTGTCGTAAAACATAGTGTGCATTAGGGATGAAACATATTGTAGATGCAGGCGTAAAAAACCGTATCGTTTTAGCCATGATTGCATTCTGAATACAGCAGCCAGCTTCCAAACAGCTGTCCTGGAGCCCTTCCCCAAAAGTACAGAAGTCAAACGAGCAAACAACTGAGCAGTGATGTTTTGTCGCTCAATTAAATCAATTTCACGAAGGATGGAACGGTCTTCTGAGCAGCAGCCTGACACCAGGCAAACGACAAGCTGGCCGACACTGGAGTGTGGAATGATGCGCACAGGTGAGGATCAGAACATGAGAAAGCATCCTGCTGGATCAGGCCAGTGGTACATCTCGTCCAGCAGCCCATTCAATCCATCTATCAAATTTATTGTTACAGTCAATGACCAGCACACTCAAGTCATTTTACAGCAGTCCATTTCACATGGGGGCCAGTCAGTTGCTCTGGAGGGCCAACAAACAGGGCATAGCAATGAAGGCCTTCCTCAATATTCTTCCTAGGACAGGAATTAAGAGGTTCACTTTCCCTGAATGTGGAGGTTCCCTGTAGTCACCGTGGCTAGTAACCGCTAATAGACTTATCCTCCATGAATCTAATCCCCATTTGAAGTTATTTGTTTGGGTTTTCCTGTTTGTTTGATTTATATCCCGTCCTCCCCACAAGGGGGCTCAGGGAGGCTTACATAGAATATTGTGACAGTAAAACCACACATAAAATTCAACAATTAAATTTTAAAATTTTAAGATTTTAGAAGTTCAGAATTTCATAGCGAAAAAACGGTAAGAGTTGCCTCGGTAGCAGTGTTTGTAGCCATCTGTGCTTGTAGCCAACACTACATCCTCTGGCAGCAAATTCCACTTTTTAATCACTTGAAGTACTTCCTTTTGTCTATCCTGTACCTGTTAGTCATCACCGTCAC